CCACATCCTCTTATTTGAATGTACATTTGTTTCAAATATTTCTGCGTCAGTGATATTTTAAACGGCCATGATAATGAAGAGAGATATAAAAGCAGTTTTAAAATACGTATCAGAAATACAGGTTTATCTATAATTTCAAACATCAGACTATAGTACAATGCATTCAATACCATTTAAATTTCTAAGCTATGTTCATGATCGACTTCGCCTATGCAGAAGTTCAGTCCCAGCAACCAGAGTAATTTTCTACATATTTTCAACTCTATCATTTTTCATGCCATTAAAATTAATTGGATATCCTATATTTACCACGCTTTGCCATAAAAAAAGATCAAATTGCTGAATGACCCCTCTCCTAAATTATTAAAATATTCCCAGTGACATTAAGGTCCGTAATGGCCATGACAAATAAGTATAAATTAGGTACTAGGGTTAACATTTTAAATATCTGTATAAGGGGATGACCATTTGATTTTTAGGGGGGGGGGGTGGTGTTTAGAAAATTATTATTCTAGTAGGAGTTAAAAATAAATAAGTATGACCAGGCAGGATGGAAAAGAATAATCTGCAGGATGCAGGAAATAACTGTGTACAAAAGTTGAATAAATCAATCAAATAGTCGCCCTTTATCAGTATCTGTATGTTTAGATAAGGGTACGTTTTTATCAATTGTCACCTGGTGAGATTGTACAAGGTAAAACGAGGATTCCACATGGCTAAGGTGTTAATTGACTTCTTAATTTATGACCTAAATATCATGTAGATGAAGTGAGCCCCGCTTATTAATCTAATATATTCTTCCCGCTAAGTGAACGACCTCAGCGTGAATTTGTGACAATTAAAGGTACAATTAAAGCCAGGCGGCATATCAGATCGTATATTACCGCAACCAACAACACAGCAGTAGTCCGTTTTGAAATCTTTAACTGTGTCATTGTTAATAAAGTTCTTATATTTTGATTCAAATGATGCTCATGTTGCTTTGACATGTAAACGCAAACATTTAATAAGTTGATTTTTTTCCAAGTCTGCATGGTCACCGCTTATCAACCGTTAGCCCCCAGTTGATGAACTCTCGGAAATTATCGCATGATTTCATAGTTTGGCTAATTAGATAGACATGCGCAGTTAAATGTTAAACTGGTGTGTTGTACAGGGATCTTTAGGGTTGCGCAACTGTCCACTTACCCCATTGTGTTGCGCAACTTTCCACTTAGAGCCCATTTGGTTGCGCAATTTATTGTTGGTGAATTAGCTTCCCTTTTATGGATGATTGATCTGCATAAGGGTTAAACTATCTGCATTTGCCAACAAAACTAAACTAACACCTGATATTCATGATCATTGTATGGTTGTTAAATTCAACTATAACAAGAAAGATAACTCTAATTATCTAGTTATCCATTACCTGTCTTGCATTAAGATCAGTGTCACAGCCTTCAGATTATCACATTAATCATTTAATGACCATTGATACAAGGAGTGAATGAACAAACAACTAATTAAAGTTCATTATTCAGTAGTCTAACACCATTCATAAAAAGGGTTTGTATAAAACTATAAAAATCACAGTTTTTGTAACATATATACATCTAACATAAACAGCAGCAGTTGTCCTTTTCTAGATTTAGACATTTCAATTTCTAAAGGGAAACTCCATACTAAAATTAACGACAAAAGAGACGATTTTTCATTCCCTATTGTTAATTTTCCTTTTTTAGACGGCGATGTGCCATTGGCTCCATCATACGGTGGTAATATTGTACTTAAAGCGCGGAAATCATTATGTGACCCGTGTAAACTCATCGAACCTTTAAACACACTTATTAGTAAGGGTTATCGTACCAATTTTGTAATTAGATCTCTGAATATAGTTTACATTGGCACTAATATCGATTTTGTCATTAGCAAATTAAAACATAACTAAATTTGTATTTTATTTTCAAACGGGATGTATAGAGACACACACACGTTAATTTTTATCTATAAAGAAGTCACTCCTAACTATCCTACTACCTGTCAATACATTTATTTTTGGCATTGCACAAGTCATGTCTTCTCTGACGTTAAAATACTAAATCCATGGGATGTATTTTAGTTGATTTTAGTCTCTGATGCATGATTTTTTATTATTAATTGTTTTGGCTTTAAACTAGCTGTCAGTAACTGCGAGTACTCTCAAATCGTACTTTCTTTTTAATTTGACCTGTTGATACTATTTGTAATGCTTTTTTGTTATTTAATGTTAACATGGATCTTGTCTGTATACCAGCTTTGATTATTTGGTATTTAATTACTACAAATTTTCACTTCTTCGTACTTTGAACATCAAAATTATTTCATTTTTCCTTAGATGCTGTTCTTGGACCTGTACAGGAAGTTTTATCTAGCACCATTTGTATATTTTTATTGTTGATATTCACCCCATATGTACCAAGTGTTAGATTAGTTTTATTGATATTAAAGAAATTTATTGGTATTCCTAAACGGAATATTTTATACACACAGAAGAAGAAGTATACTTAACAACAAAATTATTTTCATTTACCTGTGTATAATATGACGCAGGTTTCTTCAAAAGTGATGATTTTCTATAAATTGTTTGAAATTTCACAGTGATATCATACTTTAACTATCATGTTTAAACCTGTTTATTTACTTTTGACTTTAATTATTTATCCCTTGTAATTTTTTATTAACTGTGTATTTGCATTCAGGTGTCATAGGTCAAATTTATTCGTTCATTGTGTGTTAATTTACGTTTTTTGATTGAGTTAAGCCTTCCAATTGTTATTTTATAGTGTGTTTTTCTATGTTGTGATGTTATACTATTGTTTCAGAAAAGGGAAAAGGTTTGGTACCATTACAACGTTTAATCCCGCTGCAAATGTTTGCACCTGTCCTAAGTCAGGAATCTGATTACAGTAGCTGTTGTCTGTTTATGTAGTTCATACATGTTTCTCGTTTCTCGTTTTTATATAGATTAGACCGTTGGTTTTTCCGTTTGAATGGTTTTACACTAGTAATTTTTTGGGGCCCTTTATAGCTTGCTGTTCGGTGTGAGCCAATGCTCCGTGTTGAAGGCCGTACCTTGACCTATAATGGTTTACTTTTATAAATTGGCGCTCATACCACATCTTCCTATATCTATGACACTAAAAATGTTCACACTTCAATAAAATGTCTTACCCTGAGTATTAAATCATACTTATTTGTAAATGGCTTTATTATATACCACTGGAATGTAAATTTAAAAAGAAACCACAGTTTAATACTATCATAACATACTATTAGAAAGAAAAACAAAGATTAAAATCTTTAATTAATAAAGCTGATTTAAATTGTTTATTTTAACTGGAATATGTGTTACCAAAATAAATGAAGGAGACACCTTTCTGTTTATCTACCCTTTGGACCACAGTGATGTTAACATTGGTGATTGTTACTTTGAAAATCTTATTTAATATAGAAAAAATGTTCACATGGGAACCAAGATGTCATTACTTGACAAATTTCAATCTTACTTTTGAACAAACATTAATAACCATTTAGTATCTACAACATACTAAACAATTAGCAATAAAAGATAAACAGTTTAATACTGAAAAAAAAACTTCATTTAAGGATATAGATAAAAACCAGTTTGAAAACCTGCTTTCCACCCTTTTCAAACAATATTAAATAAAATTAACAATCCTTCCAAGTTTTAGACACCTGCTATTAAATTTTTTTTTCTGCTCACTACAAAATTATCATTTTTTTTTTACAGCTACAGAATTATATTTTTTTATCACACATACATGATAAATTTTTTTGGAAGTCATCTTTTTAAAAAAAAAATAATTATGAATTTTTTATTTTTTTTTAAATTGCCCTATGTTATATATTTTTTTTATTTTACACCAAATTGGAAATAGTATTTTCTGAATTCAAACTTCAAGTAGAGGTCTCAAAATGTTACCAAAAGCATACATGTCATCAATAGGTACAAATGTAAACTTGACAGACTTCAAAAGTTTGATGAAAAATTTTGTCTTGCATTTTTTTTAGTTGTAATCTCTGTCCTGCCTTTTTATTTTTCACTCTATTCGGTCCTGCCTTTTTCTTTAGTAGTTTATCCTGACTTTTTTTTACATAAATTGTCATCCTACCTTTTATTTTTGCCAAGTTGCTCATCCTGCCTTTTTTTTTGTACTCAAAACTCCTGTCCTGCCAAATTTCATCCTAGCCTCCCTATAAAAATCAAATGGTAGCCCCCTTACATTACATATCATAATGTTAACCCTAAAATTCAGTTATTGACAATCTATGCTTCAGCAGAAGTTATGGACATATATAAGCAATTTTACATCTTTCAACTCACTATTACTTCAATACTTTTAAAATATTTACTAAATCTTTCACACATTTTTTAAAATGTCTCTACCTTCTACATTTCACTTAGATGCATTGAAACAATGCAAACTTAGCAACTTTTGTGATTTGTTTAAGGAGGAAAAAATTTATCCATTTCCTCTTTAAACAAATCTCAAGAATTGCAAATTTATAGACAAACATAGTTTTCAGTGTTTACAGGGGAGGTAATATTTTGTCACTAGATTTCCCACTGCTACCACAATCGACTGTTCTGTGAAAAATTGTCTTTTTAAATTAAAAGTTAACTAATATCTCGAAGCTCCATACTTTATTTTAAGTAAAAACACGTATATATAAGATGCATAAAATCCCAAAGCATTCACCTACATTAAACTTTTAAAGCCTATAGAAACAGATATAAACAATTCAAACATACCAACTTGGCCCTTTTTTTACCTTCTCTGAGTTCCATTTCTTTTGTTTAATTTTAACTGGATATCAGCCTGTATATTAAACGATATTGGTTGATAGTATTTCTTACACATTAATGTTGATGTGGATGTTGATGTTTATGTGTTAATGAAATATTTTTCCAGATTCCATTGATTTGCGTTTCGTCAATGATGACAAGTCTTCTTTTTCAGGTTTAGCATTTACTTTTTGCCACGGTCCACTCATGTATCTAACTGGGGTTTATTTCATGAAACGACGTAATTTAGCACAAGCTATAGCAATATCTGGATTTACATTTGGAGGTTTAATTTTCCCGCCAATTTATAGTTACCTTATCAAACATTATGGACTTCAGGGTGGAATGTTGATTACTGGAGGAATACAGCTGAATCTAATAGCTTTTTCTATGTTTCTTAGACCTAAGACTATCAGGGAAAAATTGAAACCGAAAAATGAAGAAGATGACAGCGATTTTATGCTACCGGAAGCAACTACTTTACTAAAAAATAACAACAAGACAGATGTTTTCAAAGAACAATCACATACAGGAAGAAAAAGAAGTATAAGCCTTAGTATTCCCCAAGCAAGAATTGATGAAAAACAATTATTTGGGAATGCTTATTCAGAACAATATTTAGCCACAGGTGACACAGGTTCCTTAACAAAGATAATTGACACATTATCGAATTCAAATATATCACGTGTTTTGAGTGAATGTACTTTCAGCATATCTTTACTCGACTTTCGTGACAAAACTGTTTCAAATGACTCAAAACAAAGTATCGAAAAAGATTGCAGTTGTAAAAATAATTTGGTTGATTGCAGTCTTTTTAAGAAACCGTTCATGTGGATATACGCTTTGGTTTATTGTTTCGGAAGAGTGCCGGCAGCCTATCTCAGCATCTTTATAGCACCGTTGGCAAGAGAAATGAACACTGATAATTCTAGAGTCGCTGTTCTTGTTGCACTGGTTAATGCATGTGACTTTGTTGGAATGGTAATGTGTGGCATTATAACTGACAGGAAAATAATAAAAAATCACGTAGCCGTTATACTTACACTTAGCTTAACCAGTGTTTGCTTGATGTTGACACCGCTTTGTAAAGAGTTCTGGCATTTTGTACTCCTCTGTATTGTAAGCGGAATTGGTGCAGGAGGGATATTCGCTCTGACTCCAACAGTTTTGATAGATTTCTTAGGACTTGAAAACTTCAGATCTGCTATGGGGATTCTAGTATTATTACAAGGAGTCAGCTTAGGAATGTCAGCTCCTTTCATGGGTGAGTCTAGCAGTCTATATGTTATACTACATAATGAGTGCACCGTATGTTTCAGTAGATTTGCTTCTTTTGATGATGATATTTTCTCTGCATTTTTACTATCATCATTTATTGGTGTAAAATGAATTGAAATGTTAAATAATGTTCCTATACATTTAAATAAGAAGATGTCGTATGAGTGCAAATGAGACATCTATCCATCCAAGTCACAATGTGTAAAAAATAAAAACTTAAAAGTAAACAATTATAGGTCACAGTACGGCCTTCAACACGGAGCCTTGGATTACAACGAACAGCAAGCTATAAGGTCCCAAAAAAGACCAGTGTAAAACAATTCAAACAGGAAAACCAACGGTCTAATCTACATAAAAAACGAGAAACGAGAAACACTTAAAAACCACAACAACAAACGACAACCACTGAACAACAGGCTCCTGACTTAGGACAGGTGCATAAAAATGCAGCGGGTTTAAACGTTTACACGTTTTAACAGGCGCCAACCTTCATTTACTCACTTATACTGTGATATTATGTAAATTGCGACACACTGTACATTGTGTTGGTCATTACGGGAGATTAACTTTGTTCGAATCATTTTTTGTTTTAACTTTGCTATTTAAGGGGAGATAACTCTAGTAGAAACATTTTTATCAAGAAAATCCAATGTTAAAGAAGTCTTCATCTTTTATGAGTAGCAAAAGAAAACAAGTTCGGTGACACCAATTTTTCTTTTTATACTTTAAAGCATATTATAAACACATCTTCTCATATTTTATTTCGAAATTATTTCTCATAGATTTTCTTTCACAAAAAAGTGTTTTTTTTATGAAAAATCTATGCAAAATTGGCCCTGTTTTTTCGACTAGAAGCTTGAAAAATAGCACGGTGACCGAAACTTTTTATTATATGTTGGAAAGAAAAGCTTAGTAAAATCTACATTTTGGCAAAGTATAAGAAAATTCTATCTGAGGAGATATATGCCATCCACCTTAAAAAAAAACCATAAAAATATTATCATGAAACCTTTTCAGAAATTCGACAAATATGTTAACAGGGTAGGTATTTGTTTTTTTAATGTTATCAATAAAAAAAAAAAAATACTAAAGCTGCCAACTTCAATTTATATCGAGGGTCAGTGCATCTGAGGTGTCCATATAATTTTTGATTTCAAACAATAGAACTGCTTCACAATACTTCAGAAATATTTGATCAAATAGAAATTTCCGGGATAGGAGTTACTCTTATTACTCAAAGATTGACATGCACAGCATTGAAAAACAATTTTAGGGTTATGCATTCGAGAATTTTTTTCATGAACGCTTTATGAATGTAATGAAAAATTTCTTTTTATAATTGCCTTTAACCTATTTTAAACCATATCCGTTCGTCATAGGATGACATAGTTTCCGGATTCGGACCAGTAAGTTCTTTCATTTTAGGTTTTAGGTAAAATTTTATGAAATGTACTCAACAAAAGACCTCGCGGGTAAATTAGAAATCCTGGACATATATTATCACAACAGAAGACCTCGCGGGTAAATTAGAAATCCTGGACATATATTATCACAACAAAAGACCTAGCGGGTAAATTAGAAATCCTGGACATATATTATCACAACAAAAGACCTCGCGGGTAAATTAGAAATCCTGGACATATATTATCACAACAAAAGACCTCGCGGGTAAATTAGAAATCCTGGACATATATTATCACAAAAAATTAGCATTCCTTTACTAATGCAAGAAGCTAAATCATTTGCTAGAACGTACTTGTGATTTTATATAGTTTAATTATTTATTCAGTATATATAGAAACTTAAAGGATATGGAGTAAATGTACATGGGACAAAATCGCACACAATACATAGAAAATATAGTATCTTTTAATTTCAGGATTTTTAAGAGACGTTACAGGTACCTACGTCACATCATTTTACTTCATGGCAGGTTGTAACTTTTTGGCAGCGATAGTCTTTGTGATTGGTCTTTACATTATACGTAGAAGCAATGAAGGAAAATAAACAAATATCTAGTTATACATGCATGGTAACTTATGGCAAAGATTTTTTGAGTAGTTCATCAGAAAAGTTGAAAACTCTCTCTCTCTCTCTTCTTTAGGTTTACACAAACATATTGTTGTCTTACATGTTCTTTCGATACAAAATACGAAAGTTATAAATTTTTTTAATCGGTTTCAATTATGTCTTTCACAAGAGCACTTTTTTGAATATCTGATTGGATAGAATATTCACATCACGATCTGATGGAATTATGTAAAAACCCGCGACTTTAGTCCAGAATTGATTGCTTTTGTGTCTTTGATTGAAACCGCAATATACTCTCTGCCTCTGCAGGTTCAATATTTCATTGTAGTATCACCACATACAAACATACAATAAGATTCACAAGAGAGCATATAGAATGAATTTCATAACAGCGTGGACATGGACTCATAGTAATTAAATGTTATCGTGTGTATCACTGGCTGTCGACAACAAAGACTTCACGCAATTACAGTATTTCAGGGACCTCTCAATGGGGATATATACATAATTACTATCTTTACACATGTTTATTCATAAAATAAAAGTTTTTGCATGAAAGTTTATAGGAATTTGTTTTGAATATTTTCATATACTCACAACAAAAAGTTTCTTTTGACAGAATGAGTATACTCAGAGGTGATATCACCAAGTAATCGAGAAAAAAAAACGTTATATGTTTTTTCTTGCACAAACGTTGAATGAATGAATGAATCTTTATTTCAAAAGCATAAACATGCTATGGCAAAATTAACAACATATATTACATAATATAAAACATGAATAGACAGCAGAGAACAATAGTATAATACAATGACATATAAAGTTATGAGACTATATTAGATCGAATATTCCATGCAGCTTTTACATAATTACATAATTTGATCGTAAGAGACTTACTAGAAGCTTGTAGTATATTTAATAGTTTGCGATTATTAGGCCAAGAACAATAATACTTTGGTAAAAATTGTGTTCGTACAGATCTATAAACTGGACAAACAAGAACAAAATGGTATTCATCTTCAATAACACACATTTTACAACATTCACATAAACGATTTTCTCTAGGAATATTATTATAACGACCAACTTCAATATTTAACTTTTATGTTCCACTACGTAACTTTGTTAACAGACTAACATTATTGCTATAAGAAAGATATTTTTCAATATAAAAAGTTAATTTAAATCTACAATAAAAAGACAGTTTACTACATTCCTGAATAGTTGTTGACCAATTCTGCAAGTATTGACCTTTAATACGAGTTTTAATATTATTTATACATATTGTGCTAGCATCTTGATTTAGCCATACATAATTTAACCCAAGATCATATAATATATCCCGTATATTTGACGCCCAGTTTACATAACCATTGATAGCATCGTCATACAAGAGTTTATACGTATCGTATACAACTTTTGGTTTATTTGTAATAATATGTAACCAATATTTCAATATTTTTTGTTTTCTAACAATAAAAAGAGATAAATGGCAAAGTTCGCCATATAAAAAACATGTTGGTACATTTCGACCCAATTTTAACACAAATCTACAAAACCGGTTATGGATAAGTTCGATATCTTTAGCACGATGGAAACCCCATATTTCTGATGCATAGCCTAAGACGGATCCGACCATACTGTCGAAAAGAAACATCTGTTCTTCTGGAGTGATAAAGAATTGTTTGAGAGAGTTCATTAGAGATGACATGGCTCTAGATCCTTGTTGTGCTAAACGTTTTTGAGTATGTAAAAACTTTCCGTGTAATGCAATAATACCCCAAGGTACACATATGGTCACACATGAATTAACAACTTGCAGTTCCTTGGTATCATAGAAAAAATGAGTGTCTACTGGTCTAAATCCATTTCTAAATACCACTACTTTGGTTTTATTAGCGTTTACTTCGATATTCCATTTATTGCAGTAAAGTAAAAGTTTATCAAATAAGTGTTGCAGAACAGTCGGTGTTTTCCAAATAAAACGGTGTCGTCAGAAAAAAGTATTAGATATATAAGAATTCCATTCAAAGATATGACATCTTCGTTTACATCAGTGGAGATATCTTGAATAATGTCATTTATAAAAAATAAGAAAAGTAAGGGAGATAAGGGCTCGCCTTGTTTTACACCAAGATGGTTATCAAAAGTCTCTGATAGTACTCCACCAGACCGCACACGTAAACGCACAGATAAATAAATATAATTTACCATTGATACGAATTTACTGCTAACTCAAGGTTTGAGAAGTTTGTATATCAAAATTCTTCTGTCCACCTTATTAAACGCCCTTCGGAAGTCTACGAAACCACAGTATAATTTTGATTTATGCTGAAGAGTATGTGAAATAATTCCATGCAGAGTAAATATAGCGTCACTGGTCGAACGTCCTGGCAGGAATCCAAATTGGTTGTCTATTATATGATTTTCGTCCTGAGACCACGATAACAAACGGTCAGTTAGAATACTAGTGAACAACTTCGAAAGGATGCTTACTAATATTATAGGTCTATAATTAATCGGATTCGTAAGATCGCCACTTTTAGGAACAGGAATAACTAAGCATTCAGTCTAATTTTCTGGATATATTCCGATAGCAAATATCGAGGTGAACAAAGTTTTTAAAATAGGTGCGAAAAATAAAGGACATGACGAAAACATCTCACCTACAATTTCATCGTTACCTGCACTTTTTCTGGATTTAAGTCTCTTTAGTGCTTTAATAATTTCGTTTTCCGAAATCTAGTAAGTCTATATTTAAACCAAAAATAAGCGTTATTTAAAAGATCTTATACTGAACGTTATGTGGCTCATTAAAAAAAATAAGAAATCATTTATTCGTGCGAGTTGATGTAGAGTAACCTACGATCAACTTTCATACTAAGATTATTTTTGTTGGTAATAAGAACCCCGGACCTTCAAAAAAAATCATTTTAGTCCTCTTGGCTGCATAATTTTTTGTACGGAACATTTAAAAATCATTCTAGCAAAAATAACTCGTGAAAATATCAAGAAGCATATGAATCCGGTATTGTGTGCAAAATTTACGTTGATTGGAGTCAGAGTAGCTTTTGTGGAAACATTGATATTTATTTTAGATTTTGTTATACCTGAACATGCATAACAAAAGTTTAGGGATCTATATTCTTTTACTACAAATTACGCAGGTAATTTCAATGAATTTGGTCTTACTCAACTATTTTTATTTTGTTATTTGAGGACACATATTTGAGACAATTCTGCATAAACGTTTATTTGCAATTTTATTCATGCTGATTTGAAAAGCCTCTTGCTTAGCCACCCCGCCCTTATTTTAACTGAATCAGGAATGGTCGCCCCCTTACAATTTGAAATTGTACACACTTCTTTTTCGGTTTCAATATATCCATGAATTTAATAATATGTTCACAATACATCTGTTTTGGAATAATAAATCATGTGCGCAAGACTAAACTGGTCAACTGTAACACGAAATATGTACAGGTTATTATGTCAACATAACAGTAACAGTGTAATAATAACCTTTAAACTGGTTGCACTCGTTTAATTATTCTAGTATAAAAGGTATTGTGAACATATTTAATTCATGGATAGATACTGAAACACAAATTTCAAAAAAATAATTACAATTCTAAATTAAATCGCTGTGATCCGTTCAATCGTTTTTCAAATCAACAGCTACATTTAACAGGTCGGGCAAATTTCCTTATATGGACATGTATTATTTAGCATACTTATGCCCCCGTCAATGCATGTATTAGTGTTTGTTTACAAATAAAGCTTTTTTAATTTTGTCGATTGACCAATCTACTGAACGATTTGCAATGCATGATGGACTACTTGTCTATAACTGACACACTACTTATTTTTTCACTTATTGCCAGAAAAGAATTTTTCTTACTTTTTATCTCTTGATTACTTGGTGATATCACCTCTGAATATACTCATTCTTTCAAGAGAAACTTTTTGCTGTCAGTATATAAATATATTCAAAACAAATTCCTATATTAAATCTTTCATGCAAAAAAAATATTTTATGAATGGACATGTGTAAAATAGTAATTATATATATCCCCATTTAGAGGCCCCTGCCATACTGTAATTGCGTGAGGTCTTTGTTGTCGACAGCCAGTGACCGACACGATATAATTTAAATATCAGGTGTCCATGTCCACACTTTTATGAAATTCATTCTAAAACAGTAAAACATTTGCAATGTATGCACCAACCTAAAAAAATAATTAGGAGAAATTTAGGACACGATATATATCAGGTTTGGTAACTACAGGTGTAGCAACATTATCATTGTTAAATAAAATTATAATTTTTACACTATCAGATAGAAAAAAAATGATAAAAAAAACACTTTATAAATTTGATGTGTCCGAAGCGCTTTTCTGGATTTACCTTCACCTTCTTATGATACATGAAGGATATAGTTTCTAAAGATTGATTCATGCTGAACTACATTTTGTGAGAGTTTGCATCATATTAAGCTACAAATTGTGTACATCATCAGGAACGCTCAATGTCGCAAGTGAAAACGTTAATTCTAAAAAAAACGTATAGCTTCATGAATCATGCTTTGCCTAAAGTATACATATAACGGAAATCTTAACATGCCATGAAGTTCATCTTCTATGATAGGATATCAGTTAAACATGTCATCATATGAACTGTTTTCGTTCATACCTTCCAGTGTCTATTTTAATGGGAGCTGCCCCACATCTAAAGCATGCAAACAGCACTTCTGTTGTTACGCACGACATTGGTATCAGTAAGCGTTACATACGTACCAAAAAAAAAAAAAGATTTTGGCATGGTTACAAAGAATGTTTTAAGCGTTCAGGGGTGTCTTCCTCGAATGCCAACATTTTATATGTTACCTATTCCTTGAATGCCAACAAAAATAATTCAATAGATGTTTATATAATAACAATAGGTGTTTTTATAAGTATTTAACTGTTAAAAATGATTAGTGAACTTGATAG